TCCACTTTACAGAACTAATCCTGTAAGGAAGGCAGGAAGGAAACATTCTAGTGTTGTTTCTAGCCTGATCTTAATTGACCTGCTTACAGAAACTTCCTCTCTGGTTAACCCTTATTACATTGAAACAGCTAAGGCGAAGCACCCATCGACTGGAGTGACCTTGAGTTGGCATTGCCCACCCAGTCACATGACTACCAAGCCCCACCTACCCAGATGGTCATTAGGGCAGAGAACCGGTTGTTAAATTATTTGAATCCCACCACAAGAGGTTTGTCGGCTGCTATGGCCCCTCCTGGCCCCTCCTGCATTCTTTCCATGGAGAACAGAGCTCCACTTGCTCCCAACCGGCAACCCCCATTCACATCCCAAGAAGACCCAGCCAGGAACCAAACTTTGCCACATCTGGTCTGACCAGCTCTGCCTCTCTACAGGACTCCCCCAAACTACTGCAGGATCCAATAATGATGCCCAGGTCAGGAGACAACGTGAGGCATGCCATCCTCTCAGCAGGTGCGGATTATATTTGGCAATCTAGCCAACGTTTGGGAAAACCTCATCTGGATATTCCTGGCCACAGAGCAGCTTTATCCTTCTCTCTCCCATCCTGTTTCTAATCTTTATTCTTTCTTAGAGACTAGAAACAAGCACAACAGAACTTCCCAAGGGACATACATGACATGCTGAAAAAGAACTCCGTTCCCTGAGATGTAGAGCTTATTCCCATCCAGGGTGCTCTCCATGTGCAGCTGCCCCAGAGCAGAGTCGGGGTACTTGACTAGCAGTCCCAGCACCATTGGGTACAAAGGGAGGAGGACTGATGGGTCCTGAACTCTCTGCTGCTGTGCCGTTGTGCTCCTCTCACAGCCTTGAGACTTAGAGGCTTCGCTGGAACACGAGCCTAAAGAAACACACCCAAGGAGATACTGACGTTAACATGGCTGACTGTGCTGGAGTAAAGATCCGAGCTGCATTCCACTTTAAAACCAAAGCAGAGCAACAACTCAATATTAGCAACACAAGCAAATGCATTTCTTAAAAGGTTCACTCTTCCTTCAGAACTACGGCATTTAACTTCTTTGCTCAATGATTTGGAAGTGCCCATTTTGTTCTGGACTTGGGGCAAAAGTTCAGAGTGTTTTCAGAGCCAAACAGCAGAAATGAATTAAATCTCAGAACGTTTTGCATGTCCTGCATTCTGAGCCCCCAAACAGCCTTGCATATGCTCAAAGCTTCCTAATCAATTAATTATTGTAATCAGAAGGACAGACACCAGTCATGGGCAGGGCACAGGAGAGAGCACGGAGTGCAAAGGCCACCTGGTTTTGTGTTGTTGGACAGTCATAAAATACATATTTTATGTTATATTATAATTTGTAGTCATTTTTCCTAAAAATGTTTCCTAAAAGAAGGAGTAAATCAGTCTAAAAGTGCAGGAAAGTTATTATCTGGTTCATTTGGCCATTTAACAAAAAAGAATAATTGCACACAAACGTACGCGCAATATTCTTCAATTTTAGTAACAAATAACTCAAAATCTTTATTACAAGTTATATTCCGTACAATTTCCTAACCAAACTAATTTCACTCTGTAATTAAAGAAAGCCTAAGTAATCCCTTTTACATGGAAATCAGTCAACACAGAACTTAAATTGTTGTAAGAAGTACACCTGGGTTATTCCTGAAGATCTTCACGGCTTCTATGACCTTGGGAATGCCCAAGGCTTCTGCTTCCGCTTCCAGAGCATCCAAGCTGGAGAAGTTATCAGGCAAAAGAATCTTCTCTGAGCGAAGAAAATTAGCTAGTTGTTTAAAAAAAATGCACACAAGAAAGTAAGCAACCTGAAGGGCCAGCAAGGTGTTTTTGCCTTCACATTTCATGTTATATACGTATATTTCGAATGACTTTAGGGAAAGCAAAACTGGGGATTCCTAGCAACAGATGGACAGAGTCAACCAGCCAGAAAGAAAGAGATGGACATGGGAACAATAGAGAAAATTGATTGGAAGAAACAGAATTTGAATTTGAAACATAGTCTAGGCTAGTAATTATAACAATTATAATTCTAGGATAACAATGCCAATTACAGACTTGGTAAACCAGAGGGCTTCTTGGTAGTCTTTGAGTTTGCTTGTTTTCTTGCAAATGATTCTTTATTCAAATAGGTCACATCATCAGTGAGCACTACACGAAAACAACCAAGCTCAGAGAGCACCGAGGACCCTTCATTTCAACCTTGAGATACAAATATTCTCTTTCATCAAAAACAGCATATCTTAATAGTGAGACACAGAAAAAGATCCAACAAGCACCGTTTTTGTACAAGCAACAATTTCTTTAAAGAGACTGAGAAATGGCAGCTCCAGGTGCCCTGGGTCGAAAGAGGCTGGGAGCTGCTTTGCCTTTCTTGCATTGTTTGTTTTCTCCGGGAAAGAAAGTAGTCAAAAGTGGGGGAGAGGAAAAGTTGTAAGATTCCCCCCCCCCCATTTCCTCATTTTCTTCATTTCAAGAAAGAGGCCGGTGGTACCCAGGGAAGCTTTGCACTGGGCAGAGAGAGTCAGGATTCTGCCATCAAGGATTCCCCTCCTTGTGCTGGCACTGGAGCTTTCTCAGATTTTGGCGCTTCAAGGACCTTCTTGCCCACTGCTGGAAGATTTCTTTATTTATTTATTCATGCATTTATTCGCTTTTTATCCCGACCTTATTACTCCATAGGTAACCGAGGGGGGCGTCCGCCCCAATCCCCTTTGCTCCTCCGGGGGCCGCCCCGCTCAGCCAACGGCCCCCCGCCCCTTACCGATGAAGCGGAACTCGCCGCTCTCGCACTCGATCAGCGCCGCGGCGTCGGCCAGCCAGAGCAGGTTGTCGTCGGTGACCAGAGCCGGGAACTGCTCCACCAGGCGCAGCGGCATGAAGCAGTAGGGCACCTCGTCCTCCGTGTCCAGGAGCGGCGTGTCCATCAGCCCCAGCGGCGCCTTCTCCTGCGAGCCTGCGGGCAGGGAGGGAGGGAGGCGGGCAGGGAGGGCCGTGGAGGCGGGGGTCCCGGGGGAGGGGAGGGGGGCAGCGGCTCAGGCTCAGGCTTACCGGAGCAGGCGGGGCTCTTCAGCGCGCACTCGGCGGCGGCGGCGGCGGCGGCGCAGGGCTTGCTGATGCACTTGCGCGTCCGCCAGTAGTTGAGCGAGGCGCGCTCGGCGATGGGGATGTCGGCGGGGCGGACGCGCAGGTTGTGCTTGCCCTCCTTCAGGTTGTCCAGGCTCTGCGGGAGAGGCGCGTCAGGGGGGCGGGGGCGGGGCAGGGGCGAGGGGGGATCCCTTCCCCTCCCCCCCCGGGCACCTGCAGCAGCGGCGCCAAGCGGAGCAGCCCGGCCTGTTCGTAGAGCAGCGGCAGCTCCATCCCGCTGCCGCCCGACAGCCGCGACGTATGCAGGAAGTAGTGGACGTGGCGGAAGGCGTAGCCGTCACGGTCCAGGAACAGCCGCTGTCCCGCCGCCCCCGCCGCCGCCTGGCCCAGCAGCGACTCCGGGAACTGCGCCAGCTTGCTCCGCGGCACCGCGAAGGCCCAGCCGCCCACGTTCAGGTGCACCGGCGGCTCCTCCGGCGGCCCCGACGCCTCCGCCTCCTTCGCCCCCGACGGCTCCTGCGGGAGGGAGAGCCGCGCGTCAGCCAGCGCCCCTCGCCGCCTCGGCCCCGCCCGACCGCCGCCCGGCTCCTCACCATGCCGGGTCGCCGCCGCCTCCGGCCGGGCACAGCTGCTCAACCGCCGCCACGGTTGCCCGGCAACGGGGGGCACGTGCGAGAGAAGCCGGGGCCCGCTCTACCCCCCCCCCCCGTTTAACCACCGCCCGATGATCCCAGAGCCCCCCGCCCGTTTCCCTGAGGAGTGGGAGGTCTTCCAGCCCCCAGTCTTTAGCGGAGGGGACCTTGGCCAAGGGGCTTCTTTGCCTAGCCGAAAACCGAATCGCCGCAGCAAAAAGCCCTTATTCAGGGGGGAAGTCGAGTTTTTTCTATAGGGTAGCCCTAACATTTAGACTTCTATAACGCAGCCGTCTCTAAGCGGTTTACAGAGTCAGCCTATTGCCGCCAACAGTTTGTGTCCTCATTTGAGCCACCTCAGAAGGACTGAAGGCTGAGCCAACATTGAGCCTGGCGAGATTCGAACTGCCAAATTGCAGTCAGCAGAAGTAGCCTGCAATACAGCATTCTAACCACTGTTGCTTACAGAGTACAGAAATGATAGATTTGGTGCATGGAGCTGATGAAACCATAAAAGGCATTGATCATGTGTGAATTAAACAATAGAAAACGTGGATTCCAGATAACACTGCAGAAGTGGCAAATTTACACTGCACTCCTCTTCCCCAGCTGGATTTGTATCTTTCTTAAAAAGTACAAGTGCATTCAGGAACTTTAAGAATACTTTAAGAATAGAGCCGAGGTGGCGCAGTGGTTAAATGCAGCACTGCAGGCTACTTCAGCTGACTGCAGTTCGGCTGTTCAAATCTCACCGGCTCAGGGTTG